GACTTGCAGCATTACGAGGAGGAGCGGGGTTCGAGAGTGAAGCGAGCAAGACAGCGTTTGGAAGTGGAGAGGACGGCAAACCTTGAAAGCGGCCCGGGCTCGGAAGAGAAGCTCATCCCACTGCTCACTGTCAGCAAAGATCTCGGAGAGATCAGAGAACAGGAGGAGCAGCGGGGTGAGATGTTGTACCAGCAAGCCGTCGCCCTGCAGGAAGCCAAGAAGGCTGAGCAGGCAGAGAAGAAACGGAAGGCTGAGGAGGAAGGGCTGTCCGTGCCGATAGAGACATTGGCGCTGAAGGCGACAGTGCAGAAAGCACAACAGTCTATGGTGGAAAACCTGCTCAAGAGCCAGACGACCCTGGCGGCCCTGCAGCAGGAGGCCGAGAAGCTTACGATGTCTGAAGACGAGGGCCTGAAAACGGAGATGAAAGAGAAGCTGATGAAGGTGAAGGACGCCTTGGAGGGCCAGGAGAAAGACATCGCCCTGTTTGAGAAGCAAAAGCAGCACGACCTCGAGGACAACAAGGACTCAGCCGATGACCAGCACAGAATCAGGCTCAGGATTTCCGAGGACATGAAGGAGTACCACACCAAGGGTGAGAAGGTAGTGGCTGTGAGGGAGGCAATGAAGAGCTTGAGGACGGCGTTGAAAACCAAGGCCTCAAAGGCCATCGCAAGCGGAGGAGGCAGTGGGCCACTGGCCTTGCTCAGCGAGAGCTTGGCGGTGACCCTGAAGGACGTGAGCACCTGTGGCCAGGTGGACTACACCTTCAACGAGGCCAACCTCGTGAAGAAGCTGGTGCCATGCCTGCTGGACCCATCACGAGCAAATGCCTTCCTGAAAACCCGCAAGGGCATGGAATACTATGGTATGCAAAAAGCTTGGGTGGCTGAAAAAATGAAAGGGTCCAACACCCGGGCGTGCAATGCTGTGGTGAGCAAGAAAACAATCCACACAAAGCTGATCGACCTGATGAAGAAATGCTACCCGGACATGTTTCAGAATGAAGGTTTCAGCGGACTGCCGGAGGACCTCCGGGACCACTTCTCTTTGCAATTTGGGCAGAGAGATGGCGGAACGGCTGGGTTGGCGTTGCGAACGGAGTTCAATGCTCCGGCGATTGTGTTGGGCATCGAGGGAGAGATGCTAGTGGGAGGATTCCCAGCAAGTAAGTTTGGAAGCAAGGGTTTGCTTGAGGAGCGAGCCAAGCTAGAGAAAAGCAGTGCCAATGATGTAAGAGCTTTGGCCACTGGGTCGGGGTGGATTGTGAAGGTGACCCCTGGCACCTGCCTCGTGGTGCATGTTTGGCTCGAAGCTTGGGGCTTTTGAGGTGCTGGTGTGCAGTGTTTGAGGTCGCATTTCGGAAGAGATGCCCACTGATACACTGATTGAATCGACCCCCCGTGATGCTGCTTTGCCTTTGGAGGGCGAGGGGCTCCTGAAGCGGGGCATTCGTCGAAATTTTGAAGACTGGGACAGTGTTTGCAAGGATCTGGATCTGAAAGAGGCTCTAGATCAAAACAAGAAGTTAAAGGAAGAGAACAAGAAGCTGAAGCTTTCTGAAACACTGCTTCAAGATCACAATGCCTACCTGACTGCTCGGCTCAACGTGGAAGTTTCGAAGAAGCGAGACCGTCCCACGGAGCAGAGTCAAGCCTCGCCCCAGCTCAAGCGTCATGCTTCATCGGGCATTGATGGCAGTGAACTGAACCCTTTCGGGCTGGTCACTGCAGATGGGTTGACGACATTGTTTGGACGGCACACCCGGCAAAAAGAAGTGCGCCACGAAATCGACTGGCAGCTTATGGACACACCGCTTTTTACACCTCAGGCTGTTTCCTCAGGATCAGAGGAGGAAAAAGGAGCCTCTGATGAGGTCGCATGAGACCGTCGGTCGTTTCAACGATTTGAGACAGTTTTGGCTAGCGAGAACAGGAAAAGGGCATCATGCTGGGTTGAGGGGTGGTGCAGGGTTTTAGTTGTTTCAGCTTTGTGTGTTTTTGGGTGTGTGGAGTGGCGGCTGGCTGGAAAAAATGACGTCATGCTAGGTTGAGTGTTGATTGAAGTTTGAAGGTTGTAGTTTCTTTTATGTTTTTGTAGTTTTATATTTTCAGCTTAAAACTGAAGGCCTATGTATTCCGTTCTGAGACGTAAGCTCACCCGACCGCCGTGCGGCAGGTTTTGGTATGGATAGGACGTCTGTTCTGTCGAAATGCACATCATGTAGGCACGAGCCGAGGGCTGAGAGGCGTGAACATTTTCACTCCATATGTATGTTCGAGTCGCTGTCGAGAACAAATCTAATTAAACACCCTGTGCAACGACTTTGTTTAGTGTTTCAAACGAAAACATGCAAAACACAACACAGTAGCCAAAAGCACGCAACGTGTACCCGTTGAGCGGAATTACCATGACTTGCGATGACCCAGTTCGGTTTTGAGTGTACCATGTCTACAACCACCAGAATGGGATTTTCCGAACGCACAGTGTGATGTATGCACCCAAAATCGATACCCCAGACATATGATTTTTCCGATTATGCGCACAAAACAAGCTGCGACCCTCTTTTCCCGGAACCTCAGGTCGATTTCGGGCCCAGAAGCTCCGGGGTTTCTAGAACCCGCCGCCCGCAGGCAAGACCACTAGGCAAGACCATACATCCCAGCCGAGCCGGCGAACTCGAGAGGCTCAAGCACCTCTGATCCCTCCACCGCCTCCAGCTCGTCGAGCTCGATCGAGATCGATCCCTCGCCAGCTCCTCCCGCTGAAGCCTAAAAAAATCCCCCACCTCCTCGCTGCCAGGCGACGGCGGCTCCGCCGCCTTCTCCAGCTCCTCCCACCACAGCTCATCATCCGAAGCCATCTCGAGAGGAAAAGCTCAGAGCCTAAATCCTATTATGTATTGTGGCCCAGCAGAGCCCGGGTTTGATCTAAAGTCGCCTAGCGGTTAAAGCGCCTAGCCTAAGCTTATAAGGTTAAGGTACCCAAAGGTCCGAAGGTATATATGTATATGTATATACATTAAATTTATATAGCAATTGTTGTAAGTATACATATAATACATATTATATTGGGGTCCAGCGACAGAACCGAGCTCGGGCACAGTGGGTTTACACAATCTACGACACTAAATATGCGACTCAAAGGCTTGTGTATATTTAATATTTGGGGCCACATATATAAGGGTTACAGGGCTACATAATTTATTGGGTTGAGGCTCAAACCCTGAAGTTTGATAGGGGCAGCTCAAAGTGATGTCCGGGATACTTGATCATCGATGGGCACAACTGATGTCGAATAAACAGGCACATCTTATAACAATGCTGCTGCAACAGCTTGAGACGTACCAACAAGCATCAAAGCATTGCATGGATTCACATCTGGGTCGACGGCACTAAACAATCCTACGTGCATGCATGCACAACCGTCCAGTGCATCCATTGACGAGCCCTGCACCACTGCCCAAAAAGAGTACCTGGAGCCATTGCTTATCTATATTTAATTCCTAAACTCCTCAGAGGAGTTCGCCAATGCAGTTCACGGCGCTTTTTGCAGAGAGAGGGAGAGAGAGAGAGAGAGAGAGAGAGAGAGAGAGAGAGAGAGAGAGACAGAGACAGAGACAGAGACAGAGACAGGGACAGAGACAGAGAGGGAGAGACAGAGACAGAGACAGAGACAGAGACAGAGAGAGAGAGAGAGAGACAGAGACAGAGACAGAGACAGAGACAGAGACAGAGAGAGAGAGAGAGAGAGAGAGAGAGAGAGAGGAGAGGAGAGAGATGCTGTTAACGGTGAAGTTAGCCTGATAGGTGAGATGGTCATGAGCAGCTGTTGGGAAGATATGGCCGTAACAGAGATGCCCTGGCAGCGTTCAGAGTAGCAGGTTTGGGGGTGGGAAGGCGAAGGCAGCGCAGTTGCGCAAGGTTCAGTTCGGGATGAGGTGGGGAGGCAGGTCAGGTGGGGTTAAGTAAAAGAAGTTCCGCTGAGTGGGGGTACAGTGCCCACTGCAGCGAGCCGGAGGGTGGAGCCCGCCGGGGAGACGGAAGGGACGGGACGAACAATCATGACCAGTGGATAGTATTCTAGCTGCTGTCCTTGCTTGTTGGCAGGTTCAGAGTACGTTGGTGTTTGCAGTTACAGCGTGTAAGTCCCGGCAATAGGCCACTTCCGTGTAGTTGAACTGGAGGGACCTCGGAAGACCCACGTGAAGCTTGCAGGTTTACCAGGTCATGGTCTTAGATGTCGGTGGTTTGGGGGACGGGGTATTCGAGCTCACGTGGGGGAACGATTCATCCCTCAACCCCGGAAGGGGCCTTTCGACCTATGGACGTCGCGGACCGTTGAGGGGGTAGGCCTTCGGGCCAGGGTCCGCTTGGGCCCAGACCCCTAAGCAAGCAAGCAAGCAAGCAAGCAAGCCAGCGAGAGAGATAGAGAGAGAGAGATTTGGATGAACAAAATCATGTACACTAGCTGTATTATATATATATATATATACTCGAGATCTCTATGTACCTATATATATATATATATATATACATTAATTCATATATAGCTAATGTTCGTATACTACTATATATGATCCGGAGCTGCATGAACATTCAAACTTCAGCCGGCCTAGGTTCAGGGTTCAGTGGGATTGCTTGTAAACCCGAGTCCTTATTGTCAGGTTAATCTGCAGGGCTTCAAGGTCTAGGATGGTTTATAGTAGGCTTTTAGGGCTGGGTGCTATTGACACTAACTAGTTCCATATACCCCGGCTCGAAGGATTGAAGTGCAAGCAGGAAGAGCGGGCAGGGCTACGGTCACTGCAGATCGATCCTTATACCTCGGTGCACCGCAGCGAATTAAGTTGAGCCTCCCCATGGGAGGCGAACTATATCGACTGAGTTCCTCGCAGCCAGTTAATTAAGTCGGCAGTGCTGACCAGGGTCTGCAGGCACAAAGCTAGCAATCATGAATATGAAAAAGCCGAGAAAACATCATGCATGCATGATCCCGCCTCACACCTGTCCCTTGGCCCAGCTCTCCACGACAGCAGGGGTCTGCCTTTCTTCCCGCATCTTTGCCACGGCTTGCCAACCAATCTTTCTCAATGCCTCTTCGGACATGTCACAGCGGCGGCCGCCGAAAGAAAACACTTGTTTTTCGAACTTCTTTCCATCGAACTTCACAATGATGCGGACTCCGATCTTGTTGTCTTTCTTATAGTACATGCACGTGTAGCTGGCATCCTCCGGCACCGGGACCTCGGGGTCGTACTGATATCCTACCTGCTCATCACCCTCGCTGGGTACAACAGCATCAGGAGCAACTTCTGGAGCATCATGATCAGCATGTGGAGGGTCTTCTGCTGCAGCCGGTCTTCTCGCAACAACCTTGGCCTTGCCCTTCGCCTTGCTCTTGGCCTTACTCTTCGGTTTCCTTTTGATCTGCTTGGGCTTCAGGTTGGCACCATGCATGACCAAATTGGGGACCTCTGTCTCGAAGGGATCTTCATTTTCGAACTTGGCCAAAAGAACCCCTTCGGACCTTCCTCCATCTTGGCCGCAATCTTCTTGCCTCTGACCGTTCGCACCATCGCGAGCATGCTACCATCCCAGAACTGCAGCGGATTCGGAGCAGCACCGGCGGGCCCGCCCTCGATAACCATGCCACCTTCGCCGACATCGCCCTCAATCTCCTCACAGGAGCTGTCGATTATCTCAGCATCCGCATCCAAAAGAGTTTCAGCTCCACCTTTGGAGCTGCTGCTAGGGTTGGAGGTGGGCGGGAGGCCATACAAGCTTCGAAGCATTTCGTTGCTCATACCTTTGCTGCTGGGGCTGTCAGTGTGCTGCTTCTTCTCGGCCTGCGTCAGGTCCACAGGAAGCTGCTTGCTTTTGCTTCGCTTTCGCTTCGCGATCGTGCTGGCATCCGACGGGGCAGGCTTCAAGGCTCGCTTGGGCTTACTCTCCTCACGGGCTTTTGAACCAAAAATGTTCTTGCTGATCTGCTGGATGATCCTTCGAACCGCTGGAGGCTGTCTCGCACAGGTGCTTACCTGGAGCCTCTTACTGTAGCAGTAACTGACAGCTTTCGCCACCCTCTCTGCCCACGTTTCAGCTTCTGACCCCTTGACCTGCTCCCACGACTTAACAGCTGCAGCCTGCAGCAAAGTCTTGGTCGGTCGAGGTGTCCTTAAGAGGACATCGGAAATCAACTCCTCATAGGCCGAAACAATCATCGAGGGCTCGTGGTCTAGATACTTCTTATCCAGACCATTGGGTAGGTGGGCCCGCAGTACCTTCACCAGGTCTTCCGGCTTGGCCGAGTTCGACCGCCTTGAGGTCGACATGTTGGGGTATTTACCAAGCCAAAACAGCTATATGATCATGCATGCTGCGCATCGACAACATACATGCTTCGACCTGAGAAAGACTCTGCGAGAACACAAGCTCGAAGAAAAAACACAGTGCCAAACACATGCCTTAAATTTAAGCGAAAACACACCTTAATTAAGCTATGTTTCTTTTCTAGGAAAACATGTCTTAATTAAGCAACACTTTCTTAAATTGCGGTGCGCCTTGCTTAATTAAGCTGTAATATTGCTTATTTTAAGCATGGTTCCTGTTATTTAGGCAGTATACAGCTTAACTAAGCAATAAACGCTTCAATAAGCAATGTTCAAATAAGCTCGAATTGCTTAATTAAGCGTCTGTTTCTTAATTAAGCAACATTGGGCTCTCTGGGTCCGCGTCGAACAAGTCACGCGGTCGTCTCCCGGTAGCTTTCTCGAGAGGAGAATAGCTTGAGACGGTCAGTTGGCAAGTTCTTGCCCAAGCCGCTTTCTTGACTGCCTGACGAACAGTCACCTTCTCTGCGTAACCTTCGTCAGCCAAGGCCTTAGCCATGATTGACCACGTACGCTTGAAAAGACGCGCCGCAGTCTCTGCTCGATTTGGCCAAGGAGTCCGAGGTCCACAAGGATATGGAGTAATGCCATGAAACTTGTAATGGGACATGAACTGTGGTGTGAAAAAGGCTTGATCCCCTACAATCCCTTTCGGAATGCAGTTGTTCTCCTCTGTCCATGGTCGAAACGCTTCCAGAGTCTCGGGTGCTTCCAGGCTTGTGAGAGCCGTAGCGCACAGGAGATTAGAAGCACCATCAATGATAACCAAGCCTTGGTTGCAAACTTGATTTCTTCATGGTCAACAAAGATGAGATCTCCGAAGGATGATGCTCTTAGCCCTGCGATTCTGGCTCGCGGAGGTGTTGGCACGAAGTGCTACAAACACGACAGCCTTTAACAATGCGGTCGTACTTGTCATGACTCTCTCCTGGCAGCCCAAGCATGCTGGTCCTTCGTCGAAATTGAGCTGAACTCACGTGGTAGTGCTTCACATGCAACTTGTAAAATTCAACATCGTTGTTCAACTTTTCCAACATGCGCTGATACTGAGGCGAGGCCCTTGAGACCTCTTTGCCGGGCAACGGAAGCGCGATCCTCCTAGATTCGAATTAAGGCTTTAGGGTTTAGGGTTTAATTAGGGATTAATTAATTACGAGCTTCCTTGATCTGCACCAGTACGTCTGTCTGCCTCTCGATGGCCTGGAGGAGCCTGACCTGGGCAGGCTGGTTTGGCTGCCTAGATAATTATGTGCTGCTGCCTCACCTGCCTCGATGCTTGGCTGGGTGTCTGTCTGCGGCGGCACCTTGGGTTAATTTACACTGACTCACTTATCTGATCCACTACTGACTGCCTGCCGGTGCACCTGCGTTGCCTGGCTGTCCATCCCGAGACCGGCCATGCTGCGTGGCCACCAACAATCAGCCAGTCTGTCTATGCAAGTAATTAATTACTTATATACTCTGACTTTGAAGGAGGCCTGCAAAGCTGACTGGCACACGAGGCTGAAAGCTGTCTGGCTGAGTGGCTGCGACTGTGGCAGAAACTGCAACACGGCGACTGTCTGTGCTGCTGCTCTCTTCTAGCGAAGTGCACTGCCTGTCTGAATCTTGCCAGCTTTAGGATGCAGGGTTTAGGGTTCAGGGTTTCGGGTTCAAGGCTTAAGGCTAAGGTTTTAGGGTTTCAGGCTGCACGGGTTAATTAATCAATTAGGGCTTCAGCGTAAAGGTTCAGGGTTCAAGGCTTCGGCTTCTAGGGTTTCGGGCTTTAGGTTTCAGGGCTGCATTAATTATTAACAAAGTAGAGCTTAGGGTTTAGTTTTTATTAATTAACTAGTGCTTCGTTAATTAAGGTCTTAATATTCATTTGGGGCGGTTGTATTGGAGGCTGGCTGTCTCTTTGCATCAGTCGCTGACGGGTTGTTTGGCTGCCGAGGCAAAAGAGGACTTGCCGTGTCTGTCGGCTGTCAGTCGGCCTGACTGCCTGCAAAAAAACTCCTGTGCCGCCACTGCCTGTCTAGCTTGTCAACCTGTCTCTACGGCTTGGCTGTTTAAAACCCTGAGCCTGAAACCCTAAATCCCGAGGCCCTAATTAATTACACCTCAAGCCCTAAACCCTACAGCCATAATTAACTTTGCAACTGATTAATTTATTAACTAAGAAATTAATTAGACCCAGAAGCCTAAACCTCTAAGACCAGGACAAACAGCCTCCGCTTCAGCTCCGACACAGACAGGCACAACAGTCATGCCAGCGGCTCAGACGAAACCCTAATTGATCATAAACCCTAAACCTTAAAACCCTAAACCTTCAGCCCTTAAACCTCTGCCGCCCAGGCAGACAGTGTTCGTGAAGCCCGTAGACAGCTCGTCCTCGAATGGGCGGCCCGCCTGAGACGGGCCCCCATTCAGCTGGCTGCTGCTTCTGTTTCGGCCCTGAGACAGGCAGACCCAGGTCAGGTTTTTTAAGCCAGGCAGCCAGACCGACAGGCTAGCCAGTCGTGCAGGCCTCCTTTTGTTTGTGCAGCCAGACAGACCAGACAACCAGTCAGCGACTGATTCATGCAGCAAAGACAGGGGAAGGAGGGACCCCCAACAATCCCCCCTAACATTAAAACTAGCTAACTGATTCCAGCCTAAGACTTAAAACCCGAAGCCTTAAACCTCGAGCCCCAAACCCTAAAGCCTTGAACCCCAAACTTTAAGCTCCAAAGCCCCCAGCCCTAAAGCTTTAGCCCTGAGCCCTAAACCCTTAAACCCTAAAGCTCTGCTGTCTTTAGTAACTTTAGTACTGCTGTAATCTTTGGCTCTATAAAGCCCTGAGCCTTAAACTTCAAGCCCCAAAGCCCCAAGCCAAAAAGCTTTAGCCCTGAGCCCTTTACCCCGAAGCCCTGGTCCTTCTGGTGTGGTACTACTGTAATCTTCGTTCAATTAAAACACATACAGATCTAGGCACCCCCTAATTGTCCCTTTTAAATGCCCTCGCTAGGCGTACAGGAACACAGGCACAAAGGAGTCTCTTGTCACTACAAGAGCACGGCTGTAGCTCGTACTCGGCTAGAACCTTGAGCAACAGGCTAACACGCATGGATACATGCAAGTGATACGTGAAACAGACAGGCACCTGGATGTGTAACATTCAGTGTTTCAGCCCCCCCCACACAGACACACCCACACCAAGACAAACCCACACACACACACACACACAGACACTCTCTCTCTCTCTCTCTCTCCTTCTCTCTCTCTCTCTCTCTCTCTCTCTCTCTCTCTCTCTCTCTCTCTCTCTCTCTCTCTCTCTCTCTCTCTCTCTCTCTCTCTCTCTCTCTCTCTCTCTCTCTCTCTCTCTCTCTCTCTCTCTCTCTCTCTCTACTTACTTCTTGATCTGACCCTCGAATGACCGAAATCAAACATGGGTTGGAACCTGTTCCTACAATCGTAGCCATCGGTCTGCTCTCCTTTGAGGGGTTCTTGGCTTTGCCCCGTGCCATTCCGGGAAATCCGGGTTTGTGTTGGTTTGGTTACCATTCTCTGTGCAGGTACGTGGGAGTGATCAGCTTCAATATCACAGGCATCCAACAAACGTCTTTGTTAGCGTCGGACTTGTTGGAGCCCTCGGTGCCCACTGCTTCTTTTGCTTGGCATGCGCTCAAAGTGCCTTGGCTTCAGGGTTGTGCACACACACACACACACTTGCTGGCGGATTCGGCAAAGGAAGAAGTCGAGAATCAACAGAGAAAGGCAGCGGGGGGTGTTGCATGTTGTCTAATCTTGGAGCCACAGGGGGCCGATCCCTTTTCTGCAGGTGATCTGCTTTCTCGTCCGCCACATCTCTCATAGCTTCGTTTGGCAACGTGGAAAGATGGGCCGTTGCCCCCCTGCAAATTGAAAGGAGTCGCCCTTTTCCCATGGACTAGGGAAGTCCACACACACGCAGCCCCAAGAAGGGGCGAAACATGCTGGCCACGCCAGGGCCTCATGACTTACAGAACACCCAAAAAACTAAACCGCAATACCTTGCGGGCTGCAATGCCCAAGTGCAGAGCTTGACGACGTAGTCCAGAATGTAACGATGTTCTGGTAGTCCAGGCTGTGGTGATGGTTTGTAGCTAGGGGTTGGGACTGCCCTTCAGCTGGGCGAGCAGGCCCCTCGAAGCGACAGAGGGATAGAGATGGCTGACCAGTTGCCTTTGCAAGGGCCCAGATGCAGCATGGAGGACGGGATTTACTGGGACTGTCCCTCAGCTTGGCACGCCGGCCCCCACATGCAACAGTACTACCCAGCTACCTTCGAGGGGGTCCAGGGCTAGCAGCCTTAGATCTGTGTATTGATTTGCTTCATGCCCGAGACACCTTCAGACAGCAAGACAGGCTGAGCAAGGCTGACTTAGAGTGCGCATCGGGGCATGACGGCTGGTTGCCTCAGGCGATCCGTGCTTTGCCTCGCGAAGCGCTAGACATGTTCATGCGCCTTTCTGCACGAACGGAATCGAACGGAGCTTGTAGGTAAGATGCACGGCAGGTGAACACCCCTAAGGGCTCTAAGATTAGGGATAACCAAATAGCGGTCGCTGACCTCGGGCCGATCACGATCTACAGCTGCTGGTGGCGTCTCTTTTCTTCTTGTTGGGCCAAGAGCGGCTCGTATAAGCAGGGGCGGGCGCAGACCCTCCCTACCGAGGTTTGCGGTGGAACGGCAGGCCCGGGCACTGAACAGTGGGCAAGCCAGTTGCTTGATGGCCTGGAGCGCGATGGTTACTTTGCAACCATCGACTATAAGCAAGCTTTTTGATCACTGCAACCCTGTCGTTGTGGGTCATTGCAAGCGCCGCATCGGTGTCAATGAAGGACTGGCTAACCTTCTTTGGTTTTTCAATGGTTTTCACTCAGAACCCAGCACAGATGGCTGCAGTGGGGCCGTCACACAGGTTCCACACCACTGTGTGGCC